CTATTCAAACCATTTTCCACACAAATTAGCGAAACTTAATAATCATTTGATTTAAAAGTTGTTTTTAGAAAGAGATTAAGTGGTTATCGGAAAGTCTGTGTGAATTGAGAACAGCCCTGAATATTACAACTGTATATTACGGCTGTTTGTTATAACAGCTCTCTATTTGATAACAGAATCCAAATTCCGATAATAAATGAGACTTTAATTAATCAAAAGACCTATTATTTTGAGCACTCGTTCACTTGAATGCGGACAAGCGTTGTATAAGTGATACAAAACAAAGCGAGGAATCAATCATTAAAATAGTTTTCAAATTCACAGAAAATGAGAGCAAATTATTGTTTAATTGTTTTCATTCATAACAAGCCTTTCATTTCAAAAATGCAAAACATTTCAGACTAAAGGCTTAGCCGACGGATCCAAACCCAATGTCTTCATATGGACGGCGAGTTTGAACAGATAGTCATAGCATTCAGACATTGTTTTAGCGCTTTTCCACGTCTGTCCCCAAACATACACTCCATGTCTTCGCACCAGAACTGCATTAGTGTCCGGATATTTGTCCATCGCTTCAATCATTCTGTCGGTTAAGTCTCTCTCGAAAGGAGTGTTTTCAATGATTGGCACCACAAGAGTGTCATCGTATCGATGGCTCACATTAGTTGAGCCCTTTTTGATGCCTTTAATCATCTCCTGATGTGTTATCCGAAACTCATTGGAATCGCTTAAAAGAGTGGCCAAAACGGCATCCGAAGAGTGGGAGTGAATCACAGCTCCGGCCGATCGGAACCGATAGGCGGCCATAAACAGCGGCTGACATTCGCTTTGCTTCAGACCTTTGCTCTCATCCGGACTCTCGACCACCTCTTCGTTGATGTCAATCACAAACAGGTCTTCGCTGTGAATGCGCTCCTTCTGGACACCAGACGGTGCTATATATATGTGCTGTCCATCCCTTATAGACATCCCTCCGCCGGTGCCCGACACCCATCCCAGACCATAGAACTGCCGGCACAACAATGGGATCAGTTCTCTTGGGTTGTCACTCATCGCTACAGACATGTCATATACAGTATATTCACTACAAATGGCTATTGATTTGAATTAAACACTCATTTCATTGAAGAAAGTAATGAATGAATGAAAACAAAGTTTTAATGCAATTAACAGACAATTTATACAATGCTTTGTAATGCATATGACATTTGGTTTATCAACACAACAATACTGTGCAGTCATTGGACTATAGATCGCAAACTCCGCCCAAAACTACAATTCATAAAACAATGTTTCGTTTAGTTTTTGACGTTAATTGCAATGAGAGTCCCGTTTATGACAATTATTATATCATTAAAGTGTCTTTTAATTGCTTTTTTGTTATATATTTTCAATTATAATACCCTCTAATGTCTTATTCTGTACTGTATTTACTGTAAATTTGATTCAATTGAGACTTAAGTGTTGATCAGAACTAAATTGATATGAGATGGCAGTCAACACATCAATCGTTTGAGTGTTGAGTTAACAAGTTTTTAGTGAAACTTTTTGATACATTTTTTGAATAACTTTTCATTCAATTGAACCCATAATTGTTAAGATATTTTGAGTCCCAATCAATTGATACAAGAATATTACCTCAAAGAGAGTACACATGAAAGTTGTATTTGATATTAAATTCATGTATGAAGTGAGGAGAGCTGTTAATAATAGCCTAACTTACAACTTGTTAGTATTGTGTATAAAGTTGTCTATTGAATGAAACAATTGATAAAACTATTTATACTTATAGACATTAATTTAAAGTGTATAATACAGTCAATCAATTGTATAATTGAATATTTCGACTATTATTAGCACTTTTTAAGCATTGATTAGACTTATAATAAGAGGTTAGGAAATGTTATTTTCATATGATATAAATGTCGAGTTTGTTGTTTCTAACCGTTAACTCATGTCATATACTTAATGATCATTTGATGGCTTTTCATATCAAGCGAATAGTTATCTAAACGCTTGAATCCAATCATTAAAATCAATATAAAGTAATTAAGAGTTATAAAAGTTATAAAAGTATTTCTTTAATATAAGTTCAAACGATTTTACGCTAATTATTGCAGAAATAAGTAACAAAACAAATAGTTGTTAGATAAGAATCGGACCAAAAAAGTGTTTTAATTTTTGTTAATCTCATCTTTTTATATAAATAATAAATGAATATTAGTTTAAGAAAACGAAAGAGTCTTAGGGTTGAGACGATTGGATGCGAAACAGTCTCACAGATGTAATGAATTTGGTTGAAAAATGATTACATTTTATTGCATATTCTACACCTTATATGCAATATATTTTGGTTATATTTATCTTGTAATAAGGATTTGCATTCAACAAAATTAAAGATTTATGCGAATCCAACAAAGCATAAAAGCATTTGAGAAAACAAAATAAGATTATTTTTGTTTACTATAGACTATAGTTAGAGAATAGTTGTGAACGCCTTTTAATGGTTAACAAAACGATGGCAAACATAATACTAATCCAAATAACAAAACAATGAACAACTTGTGAGAATTGTTGGACATTTCTAACATAATATATCTGATTATTGCATTTGTGTGTAAATATGTGCAAATGTATTGCTCGGGGTTTTAATAGTGACTAAACAGGAAGGAGGGCTTGAGGTGTGAGCTCTGGTTTGTCATGAGTGCCAATGAGACCAAATACTTGCATATGTTTGGGTCAGGCGCTAGAGATCATGCCTTTAAGAGATACTAAAGACTAACAAAAAATTGGTTAAAGAGATGAGCATTTTATGCATCCTATTATATAACTGATAGTTAGTATAGTATGCGCTCTAAACACGGCTCATGTTTGGATCAACTTTTGCTCAACACATAACAAACTATGAGGAACTGATGGTATGAGTGCTACGAAGTACAGGCCTGAGACTGAATACCACAGTAGTGTTAGCTATGTTTGTAATCCAGTATTGAATGCAATACCTGTGAGCTGCTGAGCAGGAACTGAGAGGAACTGTTGTATCTGAGCATAACTGATGCACAGGTACTGAGACTCGCATGCCATCAACAAACCACTTGCAATCATATTGAGTCTGTGTATCGTCCCTGACCTACCAGTGCCACCACTGCACTGCCTTCACTTCAATCCATACCAATTCATGCCATTTCACACACTTTTGACTATTTCTATACACTATTGCATATCTCTGACAAATTCATTCACAAATATTTATAAATGAATAACTTATTTGTCGGATCACATCATTTCAATTGTTTTTCTTATATAATAAGATCTGAATCTGACAATTGATGTATTGATTGATTAATAAATTATTAATAATAATATTGAATATTAATTATTTGAAACTAAATCTATTTCTATTATTATAAATGCCAAAATATTTATTTCTAAACACGAAACTTCGTTAATTTACAAATTATTTATAAAATATCTTTTCTAAGAAAATAAAATTTTATTCAAAATAAATAATACTTATTAAAAAATAATGTCGTAACTAAATAATTTTCTATTACAGTACCACAAATACCTGTTTCTAGGACTACATAGAGAGTTAACTGTATTTCTATTTTCCAATTTGTGTCACTAAAAAGGCTTCACTGCAGAGAACAATAAAAACAGTCTCACAGAGGAATAACTGGAGAATATGTGAGAGAAGTTCTCATCCAAGTTCTCATCCAAATTCGGCTCATTTCTCAAAAAAGAGGCCTAAAAATAGGTCAAAAATGGCTATATTTTGGGATTGTGTCCAATTATTGGCTTCTTCTCTATCTATTGTAATGACAACTAGTTGTTCATAAGAAGCTTAAGATGAGCTTAAGTTGACTAACATTTCCATATATGAAAATTATGGATCGGATATAACCCAATCTTTAGCCGCATAATTGATGATATGTTGAGTCATAAAAACGAAACTATTTGTCGGATTTAAGCGATTCTTTTTTATGAAACATTAGTTTCTGTATTGAGATCATTACTCTCACTCTTATAGTTTGAGCTCTACTACATCATGATTTAGAAGGTCCCGATATTAATTATACAAAGTGACCAACAATAATTCATAAGGTACGCACAAATATCGCCATATGACAGTATATAACCCTAAATGCAGACATCTACCCAAATTTTAATTGTAATTATTTAAAAACTACCGACGATTTCAATGAAATTATTAATAAGTTTATTTTAAACATAAAAGTATGACATTTAATATCCCATAGTTTCCAACTAACCGACAATACATACACCTCAACACAATTTTTGAAACTCGGTTATACAGTTGTCATTCAAATTTTTCCATAGAATGTCATTGATTTTATCAAAAGTAAATTCTATAACTAAATGATTAGTTTTAATTTTACTGGATTAAATTATTATTAGATGGTCAATGTCACTTTAATTGATCCAAAATATTACGATAGTTCCAAAGAAAAGTTATTATAATAATGTATTAATTTATAATTAATGAGTTTATTTGTTAATAGAAATCAAGAAATTTGTAGATTTCAAGAAAGAGCATTACCACCAAAATAACAAACAGATTACCACTTTTGACAATCTTTTGATAATTGAAAGATCTTTGTCTAAATATTAAGCGTTTTATCGTTATAACAGAAAGAACTTTAAAATAATTGTCTAAAATACTTTGTCTTTGTTATACTAATTTATACTATGTTATTGTTTATACAATTTAAATCTAATTAATACATAATATAATAATATAAAGTTTATTATTATATTATATGTTATACATCTGTATCGAAATTTACCTATTGGTTAATGCATTACGTTTATAAGAATTAATATAATCAATTATAATCAATAATATAATACATTTAATTTAGTGATATTCATGTTTTAACAAATATTACTTTTTTCTGCGACTAATGATCCAAAATTTCTCGGTTTTGATGTTTCTAACTTAATAATATTAATAATTTATTGAATTCAAGTACATGACTTAAACAAATAGATGGTTGAACACATGTTACTTTTTACAGAATCTAATTATTTTTATTAGACTTAAAATTATTAGAAATACTGTATTAATAGGTACAATGAGTTCACTTGATCACCTCAATTACAATTACGAACATAAAGTTACAAAACTTTCCAAATATTGATCTCAAATATTGAGCCTAAACTTAACCTAACTTTGAATTATAACGGAATGTAAGTATATTATTGTATAACAGAGTAAATAAGAGTATTGAATACAATATTGTATTTGTGTATAAATATGAGTATAACTGTAAGCAAACAAGAAATGGGTCTTAAAATTACCCGATTGCTCGCTCACATATTTGGAGCCGTAGGTAAAAAAAAGTTAAGCCCACGGCTAAACAATCGTGGTTTCAAAACCGGGAATATACTGTTGGCCTTACAGTTAGACACCGAGAGATCCTCTTGTAATGCAAGAAGTTTATGAGCTGAAGGCGGATGCCTTAGTAGGGCTCGAGTCGATAGACGGGTCTATATTGCAAAACAAGTTTGTATTTATAGAGATAGAAAAACAGCAATTTTATAATAGTCTTACAAACGATATATTCATTTCATAAGTAATGTAAGATTAAGACACACAACAAGTCTCTCCACCAACTTTACAAAGTGACCAACAATTATGAAACTAAGAACTAAGTTTTTGGATTTAACCACAATATGTCAATTAGTTGTTATCATCAACTATTTACTACTCATATCCAACAATAAGGTAAGCAAATTTATATATCCTAACTGTCCGCTAACTTACTCTCAAGACAGTTTCTGTCCACTAACTTATTAACTAGAGCATATTTGTTCACTGATATAGTGCACCGCATATTACTTATCCTTACTTGTTCTTTAAATATACAGTATATTCATATTAATTTAAATCTCTGATACTTTGTATTAGAAAACAATATGAGTTTTAAATATACTGTTTAACCGATATTATGACTATTTATGAAGAAACAACATTTTCTATTTTAAAAATTGTGGCGAATGACTAAATTATACAATTAATTTGATAATATAAATTTGCAAAA